AAAGCTGAAATCCAGAAATTTGTGAGACTTTGTATCACAGATGCTATTAATTGAAGTTGACCTGCAAAGGAAAGGTAACGCCCTGTCCAACTCTTGATCCTGTTTCTGATTTTTTCCAACAATGGCATGTAGGCATGTACCCTCATTTGCTTCGTCAACAGAGGAAGTCCAAGATATCTTACGAGTAATACTACTACCTCAAATGGGAATGATTCCAGAACCGAATCTCTTACTGCAGGGAAAACACCGGCAAGGTAAATTGTGGATTTTTCCAGGCTTATACCAAGCTCCGAGTGTTCTGCGAAGGTCTTAAACACCGCCATAATTCCTTCTATTGATCGCTTCTGACCATCCGAGAACACAAGGAGGTCGTCTGCGAAGCATAAATGAATTATCTGCAGAGTTTTGTAGTAAGGGTGGTATCCCATCTTCCTATCCATTGCAGCCTTATTCAACATTTTTGACAAAACATGCATACAGATAACAAACAGATATGGTGAGAGTGAACAGCCTTGTCGCAGACCCCTTTTACTCTGAAAATATCCTGCTAGTTCCCCATTGACTTGCACCGAGAAAGATGCTGTAGTGATGCACAAACGTATCCAGTTGATGTATGTTGTGGGGAAGTTCAGAGCGTGGAGCGTGTTGAGTAGGAAAGGCCATTGAACCGAATCGAAAGCCTTAGAGATGTCAATTTTCACAGCACAACGGGGGGATACTGAGTCTTTGTGATAGTTCTTGACCAGTTCTGATGCAAGTAGAACGTTTTCCATGAGTAGTCGGTCCTTTACAAAGGCCGATTGATTCGGGGCTATAAACTGGGGCAGGACACGCTTTAGACGGTTTGCCAGGATCTTAGAGATAACTTTGTACAGGACATTGCAACAAGAGATAGGCCTGTAATTCTTCATCTTCCTTGCTTCAGTTGTTTTTGGGATCAAGGCGAGTATAGTCGAGTTTATTCCTTTTGGGAGAAACCCCATAGTGAAGAAAGTTTGTATGGCCAGTACAAATTCCTTTCCTATGATCTCCCACGCTTCTTTATAAAACTCAGCCGTGTAGCCGTCAAGACCAGGAGCTTTATTATTTGGCATAGCAAATAGCACCCCTTTTATCTCCTCATCCGTTACCTGACGGTTAAGTAGTTGTTTATCAAGATCGCTGCACTGAAATTGTAGCAACTCTCTCAATTTCTCCACCGAGTTGCCCTGGAGATCAACTACTTGACAGGTTAAGAATTCCTTAAAGTAGCCCTCAGCCTCCTCTTTAATCTCATCTTGAGTTTTAACCAGAGTTTCATCCTCTTTTTCTATCTCTTGTATTGAGTTTCTGACTTCCCTAGCTTTAACAGCTTGGTGAAAATAGCGGTTATTTTTATTTCCTACCATCAACCAATGTAGCTTCGATCGCTGCCGCAAATAGTGCTCTTCTATGTCAGCTAGCAGCCGCCATTTACTGTATGCTTTGATTTCCTCTTCCATTGCCAGCGGAGTTGGTTGCGCGACAGTTCGCTCTTGACATACGCAAAGTGCCTCAAAAGCTTGTTTGGTGCGTTTTGTCAAGTCCCCCAGCAAGGACTTACTTAGACTTCGAATATGGGGCTTCAGTTCCTTCAGTTTCTTCGAGAATCTATGTAAAGTGGAAGTGGATGAGTACAGGGGATCTGTGTCCTTCCAGTAAGCTTCGACTTGCGACTTGAAACTTGATACTGTTGTTATGGCATTGGTGAATTTAAAGGGTCTGCGACGTCTGTGGATGCTTTCTGTATCGATATGTATTCTGCATCGCATGTGATCTGAACAGCCTCCTGGTTCAAATACACTATATGATTGAGCATAAACAGCAAACCACACAGGGTTAATCAGCACCCGATCCAGTTTCTTGCAGATTAGCTCTTCCTCCCTTTTGTTACACCAAGTAAACAGTGGCCCGTGGTATTTCATATCCAGAAGAGAACAATATTGGGATATATCTTGGAAATCTCTCATACTACTTGGAAGTGATGGAGCAGTTTGAAGGCTGGAATGCTCATTCAACTCAAGAATTTCATTAAAATCACCAAATATCATCCAGGATTTGTTGCGAAACATAGGGGCATCTTGATGGCACTTTAAATCATTCCAAAGCTCCTTGCGTTCTTCCACAATATTAGACGCATAAACAAATGAACAGAGGAATTCCTCCTCTGCTCCATCCAGCCTGATCGAACACGTGATCAGTTGAGAACTTTTAAAACAGATTGTCATCCGTACTGTGGGCTCCAAACTACCCATAGCCTTCCTCTGTTGTTGTATTCATAATTTGAAATGTAAGACCAGCCATTGCAGACTGATTCCACTACTCGCGCCACCTTCCTTTCCTTCACTCTAGTTTCAATAAAACAGCCAAACTGAAAAGAAAACTTTTTGATCCAGTCCCGGGCTACAGAATGTTTTGTTGATTGATTAAATCCACGCACATTCCAAAAGAAACCTGACATTAATTGGATTTTGGGGGTTGGGTCTTTTTTTTTAGAACGCTGTCGTTCTCCTTTGAAAATCGTGGGAGGTTTTGTCTTATCGGCTTCACTCCCTTCTTTTTCTTCGGTTTCAAATACTGAAATGGGACGGTACCTGTATCTTCTACCATTTCAGGCTGAGATTGAGGTACAGTTTCGTCATCTTTTCCTGCCTTCTCCGTATCTTGTGTTTCCTCAATCTCTGTTTCCTCTGCCTCTATCCTCTCTTCTGTATCCTGCTCATCTTCTCCGCTGAGCACTGCATATCGAGATGGAGAAAGGATAGATACTTGTCCATATTCTAACTCCAGTGGTTGTTGCAGTCGATTTCGGCTACCTTTTTTTGGTGTTACCCATTCCCCTTCTTCTGGATCCTCATTTAAAGCAGTTGATTCGGCCTCCTTTGTTGCCTGTTTTGTTGTAACTCTTGCAACTTGTATAGTTTCAGTATTGACTGCAGCGGCTGTCTCTACCGTTTTCTCTACAACTGCCTGTGTTACTGCCTTCTCAGAATTTACTAAAATTGTCTCATCTATCTCTTTCTCTGTTGCACCCTCTTTTTCCTTTTGTAGACAGTTTGAGTTGAGATGTCCCCATTTACCACAAAGGGAGCACTTTGGTGGAAGCCATGGGTAGCTGAACTCAACCTTTGTGTCCAAGCCTTGGTGATTGAATATCATAGATGTCGGCAATTCCTTTGTGAGATCCGCTTTAACAAATACTTTTGCAACTTTGAAGTCCAAACATTGGGCCGTATCTGGGTGCAGTCTTGCTGGAACACCAACTGCACTTGTTATGAAACTGAGACCTTTCCATGAAAACATGTTCATAGGGACATGTTTTAGGTGGACCCATAGTGGAACCGAGGTTACTTCCGGTGATTTGTCCTCCGTGAACGGGGACCAGTTAGACATAACCACTGGCACCTCTGCCAAGTTCCACATACCCCTTCGGAGCACTTTGTTTCTTGTAACAGGGTTGCAAATCCTGAACTTCACCGTCGTTGAATTCACCACAAACACATCAATCATATGGGATTTATCCTCCATCGCCCAGATCTTGTTGACAATTAGGTGGATTTTTGCGATGTGTGGTGCTGTCGCCAAAAATCTACCAACGAGAAAATCTTCCCATAATGGAGAAGAATCCTGAAACACCTCCTCTGGAACTTTAACAGAACCGACTCCTTCCTGAATAGAGATTTCCAACTCATACTTAGTTAATACGTTTTTCGATTGTACCACTTTTGCCCACGAAACTCCTGTCTTTACTGCACTTGGACTCGAAACTGTGTCCGCGTATTGACTCCCCCGATCCTTCAGATCCTCCGTCGTGGCTATCTCCCCAGATGGATGAGATAACCAGCGGCGGCCGGTTGCCGTGAAAGTTAAGAAAGAGACATCTTAATCGCCTTCAAAATCGCCTTCTCAAAATTTAATAGCTTGGTCTTCAAAGAAAACAAACATGTATTACAATCTTTATTTTCTAAGTTTGGGATCAAGTCACCAACAAAACCTATCATCTAGTGTGACAACATCAGAGCTATCTATTTAGCCGCTTATCCAATATTTTCATTTAGAGATGAAATAAATCACATTAGATTACCATTTTGTTCGCCACTACATACAAATATGATAAATTCAAAAAAAAAAACATACAAATATGACAACTGTGGGTCTCTCATGTTTCCATTCACTATCAAATATGACCTCTATCTCAGGCACGTTTTGAGACACTCTTATGTCTTTTAAGATAGGACTTTCCTCTAACCGTCTATCTTGAAGGGGTGTGTAGAAATTATAGGAAGTACATATTAAAATACATATAGTTAGGCTCTCTCTTAAATTCTGTATATCACCTTTCCTTAATCTCGTATGTATTTTTTCTGTATATATTCAGAGCTATCTCTTTCAATGAAATCAACCAATTCACAAACCTAATATTATGTGTTTGTTGTGTCCGCTAAGGCCAAAGAAATGCAGTGGTAATAGAGGTGGTCGTGGCTAGACTGGCTTTCTCCAAGAATTTCCTGCCATACTTAAAGCAGAAGATTCAATTACTATCTATCTATTCTTACTCTTTTGTAAGTTAAGTTCTGCATATATATCGGCAACAAAATAATATGAGTAAGCAAAACACTTTTGGTATTACATTGATCACTAGGTATAACCTGTGAAATAGTCCATAAGTCTAAGTCAGTTTTCAGAAAAGATAATTTCTGTTTTACATAATGGGCTCCGCTGGTGAAGCACCTTCCGTGGGAATTGGACCTAAAAGTGATATTCTACTTTTTTTTTTTTCTTCTGTTTAGCGTAATTTTGAAGTTTCAAACGATTATTATATTGTTGGTGTAATATATATTTCATTCAAATAATCTTATGAAATTAAAGTTTTGTTCTTTTCCTAGCAGAAAAAATAAAATATACACAATCTCTCTTTTACTGCCCTTAGGAGTACAGATATATATAATAATATTTTTTAGTAACTAAAATTGAAACCTAATATGGCTGCGCAGCTTCCGTGGGAGTTGGAGGAAGAGATACTCTCTCGTCTTCCACCTAAATCTCTTTATCGTTTCAGAATCGTATGCAAACGATGGAACCGTGTTTGCGAAGACAAGACATTCCAAAACAACCACCTGTCTCGCTCCCGTCCCCAGTTCATCTTCCTGACCAGATCCAAAGGTTATTCGATAGACATAATCAATCCCAACAGTATCGATCCAAAGATAGAGTTGCTTGAGCTACACTCCTCTCCTATTACTCCCCTAGATTACACAACCATCACTACTTGCGATGAGCTCTTGTTTTATTACGATCGCTATGGGCCCTGGAAAACGCTGCTCTGGAATCCGTGGCTAAGACAGGTTAAAAGGATATTCAAGATAGAAGAGTTCATAATTTTCGGCTTAGGGTACGATAATAGTAGACCAGAAAAGGTTTACAAGATCTGGGGCTATTCTTTTCGTCGCCACAACGAGGGAACTGCTATCTACGATTGTGCCTCTCGCGCGTTGAAGTTTATTTATACACGTGTGAAGAAGCGGAGTGCAAAAGTTGAACGAAAAATAGTGTCCTTGAATGGAAATCTCTATTGGATTCCTCTTAATGACGAGACTCGTGATGAGCACATCATCCGAAGCTTTGATTTCTCTACGGAGAGTATCAAAACCTTTTGTCTCCTTCCATGTCAGAAGAACCATCCTTATGATGAACTTCTCCTCGCGGTTTTCAAAAGAGATGGGTTTTCGTTGTTGAAGCAATGCTATTCAACAAAGAAGATTGAGGTTTGGGTAACAAAGAATAAGATCGATAAAGAGGAAGTGGCGTGGATAAAACCCATGACTCTGCCCACAAGTAACTTGCCAACCCTATATAAGAATTTGTGTAGTTACTTCATCTATGACAAGACCCTATTTATGTGTTGTGGCTACAGTAATGCTTCCATCTACATCGTGAGGGAAGATACGTGCAAGAAGTTTCAAATACAACATGGGATTGGGATTTTTGAGTGTCGTCACTGTGTTTCCACTCCCAGTTTGATCTCGGTTCCTTTGTTTAGTGGTTAGATTGAGTGTATTACAAGTCTAGTTTTATCACTCTTTCTTTGGCTTTTTCCTGTCTTTTTGTTTCATTAGGATTTAGGAATCTATATATTGGAATTTCAATTTGTTCAACATATATGTTTCATGCTCTTAAAATATCTAATCGCCTTCCTTCATCTTCAATTGCATCACTAAGACTGACAACTTCAGAAAATAATGATATAGCCTTTGCATTCTCCTCATCCTATTTGAAATTCACGGATGAATAATGAACTCATCTGAGATAGTATAAGAGATTTGGTGCATCTATCTGCAAACTTCAAGATCCCTCATACCTTTACTTTCTTGAATATGTCCCTAAATCCTAACTCTCTGAGTATTTACTCACGAACTCGGCCGAGACTCTGAAAACAAGCAGAAAACAATCATTGAAAACAAATGAGGATTGACTTGACTTACAATACCATATGGTGGCCCTCCATGGCTCTCTGGATCTTTCAGTGGGAGTGGCTATTCTGGAATTACCAGAACATGAAAGGACACAGGTAATCGGAAACAACTGTTCAGACCGATTTCTATAAACCAATTCCAGGCATCCATGTCAGTAAAGGGACCCACTCAACAGAAAACCTATAAAACCTTACCCCATATGTAACAGTCGGGACATAACGAACACTCCAAATCATTGCGGGACATACAAAACCAATAGGCAATAGAAAACAAATAGGGAGGATGGGGGTCGAGGGTTCTGAAGACAAAAGGTCATGAAAAGAGAAATAGATCATACTAATAATAGAGGAGAATCATCCGAGGAGCCTTTAAAGGCCTCGTCAGGTCCTAAACCCCCCCCTAATACTTATATATCTAGATGGGTTTTTGTTGCTAAAGCAAAGCTATTCAACAAAGAAGATTGAGATTTGGGTAACAAAGAATAAGATTGATAAAGAGGAAGTGGTGTGGATAAAACTCATGACCTTGACGACTAGTAACTTGCCAAGCCTATTTACCAATTTGTGTAGTTACTACGTCTATGACAAGACCTTATTCGTGTGTTGTGGCTACTATAATGCTTGCATCTACATCATGAGGGGAGATACGTGCAAGAAGATTCAAATACCATATGTGATTGGGATTCCTGTGTGCCGTCACTGTGTTTCCACACCAAGTTTGTTCTCGGTTCCTTTGTTTAGTGGTTAGATTGAGTGTATCACAAGTCTAGTTTCATCACTCTCTTTCTTTGGATTTTTGTTTCATTAGGATTTAGGATATTTTCAATTTGTTCAAAATATATGTTTCATGTTCTTAAAAATGAAACCTGAGATACCCAATATAACGCACAAATCTCAAATATTCTTGATAAAAAAAAATCACTGTTAGAGGCTGAAATGCAATCAACTCTCAACTTCAGTGTATTTGAAGACAGTCATAAAGCCTTCCTCCGAGAAACTCTGCTACTTCAAGATGCTTCACCTAAATATATAAACAAAAGGATGATGGGACATGAGAAATCCAAAAATAAGCTAAAAAAGGTTCAAGCCTCAGTTAAAAAAACTTCTTAACAAAGTTCTAAACTCAGAAATCAGAATATACACAAAAGAATGTTTTGAGTTTTTACCATAGAGAAAAAACGACAAAATCAAGATTCTTCATCCTTAACGCTCCAAAGGGTTTCGTCATACTAGAAACTTCTTAATGAAACAAGTATTTCATAATCTTGGAAATCAAATAGCTAGAAAGAGAAAAACTAGACGTCTAATGGCAGCAGATATGATCCTTGACATAGATCAGACGCTCCATTCATCTCGTTAGTTTACGATCAACCTGGATTGAGTGCAGAAGTGAAGCTGAGGTGATGTTGAAGCCATCTTCTCCTTCTTCTTCTTCTTTCCATCTTTACGATGACTGGGGTTTCCTTTAATGGAGATAAGTGCAAGAAGATTCAAATAGATTCTGGGATTGTTGAGTGCTGTCACTGTGTCTACACTTCCCAATTTGATATCGATTTCTTGATTTATAGAGGTTATGTTAGATGGAGTGTATTGCAAGTCTAGTTTTATCACTCTTTTTGTTTTTGGCTTTTTCCTGTCTTTTTTTTTTCCAGATTGACTTGAATATAAGCAAAATCTGTACTAACATCTTCTTTTTAAAATTTTGATTTCAGAAGGTTCATTGCTTTAACATATTCTACATATATTTGATAAACTCTGCGAGTATTTAGCGGGATACTGCGCAAATACCCTTATCTTGATTGTAACACTCTCTTTTAGACATAGTCATCATTTGAAAAAAAACACTCTCTTTTAACATGTTTACCAAATGGCCCAAACATGTATGGTGTCCCACGAGAACGACATAAATTGCATTAATACACTTCGTTTTCATTACAAAAGTCAGAAAAAGAGCGTGACATCATCTTCCATTATCGTCGTGGACTCGTGGGATTACTTATTTGTTTACAGTAAGATCATAATAGTATTAGTGCGTGTGTATATAACTATATAACTATATATATATATTTTTGTTTTTATCATCTGACAATTTTCATTAAATAATTTAAAGAATACATTTGTAAAATACATGTGTAATACATAAACTTATACAGGAGATTTAGAAAAGTTTAACCCAGCACTTAAAACATAATATAAACTAACCAACAAGACTACCATACTTCAGGAGAACACAAGAATTTCTGAACAGGTTTCGAGCTTCATCAACGGTAAACAAATTCTTCCACAAAATTTACTTTTCGATTCTAGATAATCAAAGTTTTATATCCAGCAAAACAGAAAACAAGAGGTCTCCAAGAAACGGTGAAATTGAAAAACCATCCAAAAGCACGACTAAAACATACCTAGATAGAAGTTTGAGAAGTGCGTGTGTATATAAAACAACAGATTTCTTGTGATCTATACATAACTTGTTCATACGATCACTAACTAATGACATACTTGATTTTGCCTCACGGTTTGGTCACTTGCTTTTGAATTGTACTTATCATACATTTTTTTCCACGAGGTGGTTGATTTTTTCTAAATTTCTAACTTAATCTCGAGATGGTTTGGCATTACATAATTTGCTATATCACACATCTTAACCAAAAAAAAAAAAAAAATTATAATAATACACTCACACACAATACATGATCTAAACAAAAAAGAGAAATGTCGTGCGAAAAGTATCATGCATATAACCATTAGATACCCTAATCATTGATAACTTATGATTTACACTAGGATTCAACTAACAATATTTATAAATTTTAAGTGTTAAGGAAGTGAAGATTATTTACAGAGTTTAATGACCTTTGGTTTGGTCATGCCCTGGACGCGACTAATAGAAGAGAACCGTACGATGAAGAAAGGACGACGGCTCCCCAGATCATTGAGAGTCATTTGATAATTTAACTAAGCCTGGCCCTTTGGAGATTCTGTAATTGGACAAACTACAAATAAACATTCAAGCAATAAAGTTGGATGCATCAAAGTTAGTAATTTTCATGATCATAATATATAGCGAGTCAATCGATATGATTTTGACACATGTTGCAATTTAAATCAAAACATAAAAAATATATTTCAAATTTAAAAAAAAATAACTTCAAACACTAATCCTAAAAAAAAAAATATTATTTAGAAAAAAAGTTAATAAAAGAAGATATTTCAAAATGGAAAAAAAAAATAAGGTCTTTAAGATTATGATTCGTTCGGTATTCTAAATATTTATCTTTTAAGATTCGTTTGCTGAACAATAAAGTTAGATGCGTCAAATGTAGTGATTCACATATTGTGACATCTGGCGAGTCAATCGATTAGATTTTGACATATGTTGCGATTAAACTAAAAATAAATAAAATGATATATTTTAGTTTAGAAAAAAAACTTACAACACTAATCCTAAAAGAAAAAGGAAAATACAATTTGTAAAAAAAGAAAAGTTAATAAAAAGAGATAATTCAATTTAAAAAAATAAAAAAGCAAAAAAATTAATCTTAAAATAAAAAAATACAATCCACGTCTATATAAGCACATAAAATCTCTCGTAATTTTTCACCAAACAAAATAATACTTTCTGAGCTTCATTCTATAGGTATAATTTTCCTTCTTTTATTGTATTATTATTATTAAAACATATTATACAGAAAAATACAATTTGGAAAAGAACAAAAGTTAATAAAATAAGATATTTCAATTTGGAAAAAAATAAATAAACTAAAAACACTAATTTTAAAAGAAAAAGAAAAATACAATCCACATCTATATAAACACATAAAATCTCTCATATTTTTTTACTAAACAAAATAATACTTTTGAGCTTCATTCTATAGGTATCATTTTCTTTTTATATTTTATTATTATTATTAAGACACTTTATACGGTATTCTAAATTTTTATCAATTATGATTCATTCGGTATTTTCAAAATTTTATCCTTTATGATTCGTTTGATTCGTTTATTGAATATTATATACATCTAAAGTGTTTCCAATATTCAATAATTAAATAATTTCAAAATAATTACATGCAGAATTAGCAAAGCAGGATTACATGAAAATGAAATCCTAAATGCTAATGATGAGTTCAATGAGGAGGAGGATCAATAAAAATCAATAAAACTTTTAACATGAGTCTTGAGAAGCATAACTTCTCTAAAAAACAAATAAATCATATAAGAGAGATGCATGTAAAGAGAAAGAGAAACTTTGTTTACTTAGAAAGAGTTAATGGGGAGAGAGTTAACATAATCGAAGGATTTGAATTGCACACTCAAGTTTTTGATGCAGCAAAACAGAAAAAAATAGTTGATAAAGTGTTAAACTACAAGTGAAGTATGATTAATATTGATCAGGACCTATAATAGACTCCGTGTTTTGAATATTTTAATTAAAATCAAACGACAATTAAAATCAACAACTCTTATATTTTGATTTTATGTTTTTAATATATTTTTTTATCAATTATCTGATTTTTTTTTCAAATTATTTTAACGAATTTAATTTTTTTTTTTATAAATCCGCATATATGTGGGTCCTAATCTAGTATTTGGTGTTTAATAATTAGACAATTTTAAAATAATTATATGCAAAATTTGTAATGCAGGATTACATGAAAATGAAATCGTAGATGTTAATGATGAGTTCAATGAGGAGGATGTTCAACGCAAATCATGTAAAGAAGCTTTTGACACGAGTTTTGAGAAGCATAACTTTTCTAGAAAGCAAATATATCATATACAAAAGATAAATGTAGAGAAAAAGAGAAACTTTGTTTGCTTGGAAAAAATTAATAGGGAGAGAGTTAACATAATCGAAAGATTCGAATTGCATGCTCAAATTTTTAATGCAACAAAACAGAAAAATAGTTAATAAAGTGTTGAACTGTAAGTGAAGTAAGGTTAATATTACTAAAGATTCACCACAGATTCTGTGTTTAGAATATTTTAATTAAAATAAACAATAATTAAAATAAATAACTCTTAGATTTAGATTTTGTGTTTTTAATACTATGTTTTCATCAATGATCTAATTCTATTTTCAAAAAAAAAAATTTAAAATTATTTTAATAGATTGAAAAATTTTTATGATAAACGCATATATGCGAATCCTGATTTAGTATATTATATACAAATATAAATTAGTTTAGCCAGTAATTTTGATTAAATAATGAGATTTATTAAGAAGGTGTGTGTTAGTGTCCCAATGGAGACTAGAGAGCATTGCATGTATACCACTTTTACTTACATCGTTGCTCAATTTTGTTTTAGAAAAAATAATACATAATCACAAATATCATTTTGCCATTATGAAATTATGTACCGTTTCCGAGTTTCAAACTAGGACTAATGTCAGAAAGGATATTAATATGAAAAAGTTGAAAAAATCTCTTGAAAGTCAAATTTATTCACTTGTTCAAGACGAGAAGACATGTCTTCTCTAAGAGTCTTTCTCCGACCGATCCATTGATACAGCCAACGTGTTTTTTAACCAATGAAAAACATAACTCATAATAAAAGAAGTACCGACGAAAGAAAAGAAAAGAAAGTTGGCATACGTAATCAAGAAAAATGATTGATTATAGTCTTATATATCTAATCTAATCAACTAATATAGTATTAGTACTAATTACATAGGGGCAAAAGAATCTAAACAAAGAGGCCAGGACATCAACCACACCATTAACAAGATCATTTTATTCTAATTCTCTCTCTCTCTCTGATATTTCTTGTAGAAGAAGAGCATATCGAGTTTGATTTGTCTTTGAGAAACCAAAGCTCAGTTTCCTTTTTTTTTTTTTTTTTTTATTGCAGGTACAGACAAAGTTATATATATATAAGTGTGATTAGAACAGTGGATGCTCTTATCACGGGTCCACTTTGTTCTCGGGAAAGAATCTTTAAGCGCATATCAGTCACATGGTTAGAGATTAAAATAGACTAATCTTACCTTCAATCAGCCTCTTGTGTCCAGAAGAAGAAGAAGAAGAAAGAAAGAAAACACCATTCAACAAAAGACAGAGAAGCTTTGTGAGAAACTCAATTTCACAGATTTCCTATTTTTATATTCTCAGAAATTGCGCACATCATTCATCAAACCAAGTCCAAATCTTTGTTTCTTGTCAGTTGTTTTATGTTGGTGCTTTGTCTAAGTGCTCTTGGGTTAGATCCTAAACCCAAAGTGAAGCTTTCTCTCTCTCTCTGTGCAAGAAACTTTGATAAAGTTGGTAACTTTTGCTGAAACTTTTACTAAATCGCTTTGGATCAGAATGATTTTTGGAATTGGGTCTAGGTTTTTCTTTTCTTAAATCTTGATTTTCCTCCATGTGCATAGGGGAGAATCTTGTACTTGAAATTGATGGCACTACTACTTTGATTGATACCCTCTTTTAAGTCAACTCTCCATTGAAAGCGAAGTTACTTATACATTAATTTTTTATAGCATCTCTATGATTTCATTTCATCCTCTGAAAAAGCACTTATAATACTGAAAGTTGGGAAAACTACGGTTTGATTCTTCTCTTCTCTTGTTCTTGGATGGGTTTTTGATAATGTTTCCGCAACTTTTTTCAGAGGAGAGGAACATTAATCCACTTGGAGTTTGCTCTTGTGTATACTCTCATCTTCAAGAGGCGTATGCATATCGGTACAAAGAACAACAGCTAAGCGCAGTCTCTGAGGACTTGAGGATTTGGTAGTATCTGTTGGATGCTGCTAGATTGTAAGAACTAAAAAAAGGAATCTTTAGGTATGGAAGATGATGGTGGTGGCAATGGAAGCGAAGGAAATGATGGGTTTTCACCTAATTCTAGCTTTGGGGCATTCCCTGAGACGGCCATGGATTTGGATTTCATGGATGAGCTCTTGTTTGATGGATGTTGGATAGAGACAACAGATAGTAAAAGCTTGAAGCAGGCAGAAGAATCTACGGCCATGAATGACAATAGCCCTTTCCTCTGCTTTGGTGAGAACCCATCTCAAGATGATTTCTCCAGTCAAGAGCCTTTTAACCAGGCTGAAGCAAGTTCTGAGCAAGCAGAAAAGTTTCTACTAGAAGAAGCTGAGGTAGGAAGAAGTTGGTGGATTGCACCAAGAGCAAGTGAAGGCCATTCTTCATCTGTCAAGGAGAGACTGTTACAAGCTATAAGCGGTCTTAACGAAGCTGTGGAGGATAAAGACTTCCTGGTACAGATATGGGTGCCGTTTCAGCAGGAAGGGAAGAACTTTCTTACCACTTTGGAGCAGCCACACTTGTTCAACCAAAGATACTCTAGCCTTGCAAAATACAGACATGTTTCAGAGACTTATAATTTCCCGGCCGATGAGGGTTCGAAAGAAGTAGGTCTTCCCGGTCGTGTTTTCCTGCAGAAGTTTCCTGAGTGGACTCCTGATGTGCGTTTCTTTAGAAGTGAAGAATATCCACGCATCAAAGAAGCACAAAAGTGTGATGTTCGTGGGTCACTTGCCCTTCCTGTGTTCGAAAGTGGTAGTGGAATCTGTTTGGGTGTTGTTGAGATCGTCACAACGACTCAGAAGATGAACTACAGGCCAGAACTTGAGAATATCTGTAAAGCTCTTGAGGTTTTTCTCTTCCTCTTGGTCTTGTCTCTACCTCAGAAAACAAATTTACTGTGTAGATCCGCAAGTCTTACCAAACACGTTTAGACAAATACCATCAGTAAATAGCTAGAATGTCTCTTTCACTGGAGGGCTTTCTGTTTGTGCTCTTTATAGTCCAAAACAGAATCTTCAGTTCTCTTCTGCATATAGTTGGACTGTGATTGCTCTTCTTCTATCTTTGTGCATCCATGTTTCTTTCTGTCATCCATTCGATAATAATTTTCCATTACTAGTGTTCTGTTATGTATCACAATAGCTTAAAGATGTTGCTGTTTTTGCAGGCCGTTGATCTAAGGAGTTCAAGTAACTTGAACACTCCAAGCTGTGAGGTGCATTAACTGGACTCTTACTTCACATTCCGATCCTAGAAACAATTAAAATGCATTGCTAAGTTCATATACTCCATGTTTCAGTTTCTGCAGGTCTATAATGATTTCTACTACGCTGCATTACCTGAGATATCAGATTTCTTGGCATCAGTCTGCAGATCATATAATTTGCCTCTAGCTTTGTCATGGGCCCCTTGTGCTCGGCAAGGGAAAAGTGGATCCCGACATTCTGATGAGAACTTCTCTCAGTGTGTTTCCACAGTCGATCCTGCTTGCTTTGTCCTCGATGAACAGAGCCACAATTTTCTCGAGGCTTGCTCTGAACATCATCTGCTCCAAGGGGAAGGCATTGTTGGGAAAGCGTTCAAGGCAACCAAACTGTTTTTTGTGCCTGAAGTGACCACATTTAGCAAGACCAACTACCCTCTTGCGCACCACGCCAAGATATCTGGATTACACGCTGCTTTAGCAGTCCCGTTAAAGAGCAAATGCAATGGTTTGGTCGAGTTTGTGTTGGAATTCTTCTTTCCAAAAGCCTGCCTTGACACTGAAGCGAAACAGGAGATGCTCAAGTCACTGTCTGTGACTCTGCAGCAGGATTTCAGGAGTTCAAATCTTGTCATTGACAAAGATTTAGAGTTAGAGGTCGTATTACCAGTTAGAGAGGACATGGTTTTCTCAGAGAACCCACAAATTGGGGCAGAAACCGCAGAGCCTTTGAGAGAAATCCACCTGCAAGAATCCTCATGGATCTCTCACATGATAAAGGCAAACGAAAAGGGTAAAGGTGTGTCACTTTCTTGGGAGTACCAGAATGAAGACCCAAAAGATGAATCCAAGCTCGCATCTGGCTGTGATAACATTCAGGCTGATCCAGTCTCCAATAATTTCCCTTTAGAAGCTGAGTTTCAACAAGCATCAACTTCAAGACTCAGAGTCGATACAGGTCCTAGTACTGAATCAGCTTCAACGGGTGGTGGAAATATGTTAGGGAGTAGAAGACCAGGAGAAAAGAGAAGAACAAAAACAGAAAAGACCATTGGCTTAGATGTTCTTCGACAGTATTTCGCTGGAAGCCTCAAAGATGCAGCCAAGAGCATTGGCGGTAAGAAATTGTTGTTCACTGCTAGAAACATAGCTTCACTCTATGAATTTTGATTCTTCTTGTCTCTTGAGAAAAGCATAACCAATAGTCCAATACGTTCCTTGGTCCAAGGCCAGACCTCGGATCCTAAATGAATATGTAACACTAATATTCAAGCCTGAGGAACACCACCAAAGGAAATATGATACTTGATGGAAAATATAAACACACAATTGTCTAAGATTGAGACCAGAAATTTGTCTTTACATTCTCTCTATAAGGCAGTGAATCAGTGTGCTCTACAAACATTTTCATCATGCTTATTTATCGCTCTCTCAGACAGTGATGTGACAGGGTTTCGTCTCTTATGCTATTGCAGTTTGTCCAACTACCTTGAAAAGGATATGCAGGCACCACGGAATAACAAGATGGCCTTCCCGGAAAATCAAGAAGGTTGGGCATTCGTTGAAGAAGCTCCAGCTCGTTATGGACTCTGTTCAAGGCGCGCAGGGCTCTATCCAGCTCGATTCATTCTATACAAGCTTCCCAGAGTTGAACTCCCCAAATATGTCCAGTAATGGCCCGCCACAGCCTTTGAATGGTCAAGCAGAAAACGGTGTTTTGGCAGAGGAAAGAACAGCACCAAGGTCACCATCATCTTCTGGTTCAAGCACCAATACAGCGAATACTGCAAACACTCTGCAAGTTGCTGAGGATGCCGATGCGGTCTTAAAGAAAGCTCAGAGCGAGGCGGAACTGCATAATGGGAATCAGGAGGAAACAAAGTGTCTCGCAAGAACCCATAGCCACAAGATATTCAAGGAGCCTCCTCTTCCTGAAAATTTACCTCCATTACCAGGTAGTAGCAACAAGAGCTTAAGAGATGGAGGGACCATTAAAGTGAAAGCAACATTTGGTGAAGCCAGAATACGGTTTACCTTACTCCCAAGCTGGGGCTACAGAGAGCTGCAGCAAGAGATTGCCAGGCGTTTTAACATCGATGACATTTCCTGGTTTGATCTTAAGTACCTCGATGATGATAAGGAGTGGGTTCTTCTGACATGTGAACCGGATCTCGAGGAATGCATCGACATATACAGATCCTCGCAGAGCCAAACAATTAAAATAACTCTGCACGAAGCTTCTCAACTTAAACTGGGAGGTTCTTTTGGTAGCAATGGTCCATCCTGTTAAACAATCAAAAGCAAGGTTGTAAACTGCAGGAACCAGGAAGATTCTTCTGATATAGTACCTCTTTTAGAAATCTCACTTACCTCTTTAGCCTGGGAATCTTGTGTAAACATGTGTCCAGTGCCCTGAATACCATTTTGCAACTGGTCCCATGCATCGCCTTAACAGATTTTTGTATAAACGGCTATGCATTCCAGAAACTTGTATTTTGTCTCTATACAATTATTTTTGTCTTGTTTCTAAGCTCTGCAACTACAGGCGATTTAAATGTTATGTGTTTTCACGTATGGTTTCAGTCTTTAGTATCTATATTACTATCTAATCCATGATTCCATTGATCTACGAGGAACATGAAAAGAATGTGCCAGAAAGAATATCCATTTCACTTAACAAAACTGATCTTTGTTATAAAAAAAAGCAATCTGTATGTCTATGTTTTAACAACTTAGTCACTTTGTACCACTCGAACTCCTTTTCTTCGAGCAACCAGAAACTGTGCGAACAAAAAGCACAAGAATAGTAGCTTACATCTATTTCAACTTTGTAGGTTGTGTTCCTTTGACCCAAAATTCAAAGTTGGGTTCAAATTCAACATGGAAGTGGGCGGCTCTTTCCCCTCTTTTCTCCACCAGCTTGGTCTTTGCCACTTGTGTTCACCCACTAATGTCATTTTTATCTGTTTCTCTGACTTCAATGCACACACCCTGGGAATATCTTTCTTCTAGAAAATGTGTGTCCAAACATGTTATCTTGTCTGCGTCTACTGGCTTAGCTGCAAAGACACAGCAAAACAGAATATGAAGGTGTCCAACTCTGAAATAAAGTTCCAGCGAACCTAAACTTTTTTGTAGATAGATCGGATTCCTAAACATTATCAGTGTCAGATACTTTAACCACAGGGATATATATAGCTTCATTAGAGATCTCTCAAACTGTACATCCCCTAGCTGCTATAATAAGGCTAAACTCTTATACATGAGGATGGAGACAACTAAGTATCAAAAGAATATGCCACTCGATGCGTATTCAACTAAGTATCCGACTGTAATAGAGCCAAAAGAATGCAATGAAGAAACTTACTGCTGTAATACCATTCCTACTGTACGTTACTTCAAATCGATTACTGATAACAAAAAGAGAGCAACATTTTTTTTACAGAACTTAGTGTTGAGTTTTATTAGGTTCTTTCCTGTTTCCAGTCCTAGTTTCTTCTTATCTTTACCTGTCAATTGCATCCTTGATGTCATGCACTTGAGATATGTGCTTGACCGTCATCTGAACTTTCCCATCACTGACTCATGCAATGTCCCTAACCATCGTCCTCCCAGTAGTCCAAGTAGTCAACTCTCGGAGACTGAAAGCTTGATATATCCCCCTGACCCCATCCCTTTTTAACCTTTATCAGAGATTTTAGTGCAATTCCACTGCCGTCATCTCTGCAAAACAGCAATTGATAGGAAGAACATTCATTAATTTTCTGAAAAGACATTAGAAATGATTTTCTCAAATGTGAACTCAGTGAAAGTCAAAGAGTCCTTTCTCTAATCATGTACATGAACGCCTACTCCAAATCTTGGAACCTTTTTCCTTTTAAAACCAGAACTTCACAGGACAAAGCAAAGAACTACGAAACCTCCAATGAAAGCATCTTAAAATACCCATTGAAATGTACTGGTACAACAGCAGAATTAATAAGAAACACAAACCAGAAGGAGAAAGTATCATCCATACCTGTGCAATATATTCTGCCAACTGTATCGACCATACTTATTAAGCTTTTTCTGGTGTAAATCCCTCGCATTTGGATCGACTTTGTTTGATATTTCACCAACTGAAGCCATTTCCATCATCTTCTCAGCAAAAGTATTTGCCTCTTTCTTGTTTCCCATCTTACCTAAGCCATCTATCACAGGCATCAATGCTGCAGGGTCAAACCCGTATCCCTTTTCTATCATTTTATGCAAAATTCCACTAGCTACTTCTAGCTCATCCTTCTTACATAAGCTCTCAACAAGACCTTTATAAAGAAAGGTCCCCAACTCAAAACCTCTATCTAAAACAGCTTCAAGCAACTCCGTAGCCTTTAAGAGTTGCCCTGCAGCAAGCAACTCATTGAACATCAGGCTGTAAAGGCCTTCCTTTTTTCCACAGATACTTACAGCAGTCTCGAAAACTTCTTGAGCCATGTCAAAGTCAGGTACCTTACAGAAAGCTCCAATCAAGTATGTGAAGGAAAATACATTTGGGGTTACATTCTTCTGCATCATTTCATCTAAGAGGTTCGTTGCATCTTCAACTTTTCCTCCCTCACAAAGATACTTGATTGCAGTATTGTAGGTGCAGAGATTAGGTGAAATGCCCTTTTCTTTCATCTCATCCATGAGTCCGTGAATTTCAAATATCTGATTTTGTATGCCCAAGCCCAGGATCAGTGAGTTATAAGTCTCTAGGCTCTTATGACAACCTTTCTTCTCCATGTCTTTAAGAACGCGAAATGCAGATGATATTTTCCCCTCTTTGCAGAAATGATGGATGAAAATGTTGTATGCAACAGAGTCCGGTTGCAGTTTCTCTCCCACCATCTCAGTAAACAACTTCTTTGCTTCAGCGAACCTTCCGGCTTTGCACAAACCATTGATTAAAGTTGAATATGTAATCAGGTCAGGCAAGCAATTGTTCTCGATCAAGCTGTCATCCACCAGTCCAACATATGAATTCCCTAGGTTACCAAGAGCAGCGCTTCCATGCACACGCATTCCCTTAACGATCTCAATAGCTTTGTCTAATTCCCCACTTCCACAGAGTCCATCAACTATAATGTTGCAGGTGACAGTATCTAGTCCATAACCTTTTTCATTCATCTTCCACAGCAACTCTTCTGCTTCAGACATTCTCCCCATCTTCCAAAGGCTATGGAGCAAGATATTGCAAGTATAAGCATTTGGTAAGCAATTGTTCCTCGTCATCTCCTGCAATAAGCTTTTAGCTGCGTCGACCTTCCCAACACTGCAGTAACCATGTAGAAGACATCCATACGTTACAGCATCCGGAGAAACACCATTTCTTTTCATTAAACCAAAGATAGCCTTTGCATCCGACAGCATGCCTAATTTACACAATCCATCCATCAAGATATTGTAAGAATATATACTTGGCCATACTCCATTATCAATTATTTGCTTAAGGACTGTTTCAGCCTCTATAAACTTCCCATGTCTGACCAATCCCTGTAACCAAATATTGTAACTCTGCAAACTAGGGAGGCCATCATTTTTTCTAATCGACTCAAAGAGGGTCTTAGCTTCCTCCAGCATCCCTACCTTGCAGAATCCTTTCAGCATCAAGTTGTACGTTATACTATTGGGACGAGGAAGACCCAGATACTCATCAAGCTCCATATCCCTGAAAATTCTAGACGCATCCAACACCTTTCCTTCTTTACAAAGCGCTGATATCCTAGAGTTGAAAGTTACAATATCAGGAACCAAACCTTCCTCACGCATCTTCTCCACCAGTTTCTCGGAGTCATCGTTCCTACCTTCTCTGCAGAAGCTAGAAATGATGGTATTATACACAACTTTATTAGGCGAAACCCCATAGCTTCCCATTGAGTTCAACAGCTCTAGTCCTTTGTCAGGCATACCAACTCTACAATACCCACGCACCAAGATCCCAAAAGTAAACTCATTTGGCTTACAGCCTTTCTCAGGCATTTCGTCGAACAACTCACGAGCAGCGTCCACACAACTTGAATCACACAGAGCACGGATCAAGAGATTGAACGTATAAGTCTCTGGAGCAATCCGGCAAAGAACCATATCTCTGTACAGCCACGAAACGAAATCCACACGTCTTCCCTTTATGCAACCTTCGAGAAGCAGATTATACAAATAGATTCCGGGACTGTTTTCAGGGAAACGCGACCTGACGAATTGGAATTGCGAAACGGCCTTGTCGATGTGATCCGATTTAGCGAAGACTGGCACAACGGAGAGAAAAGAGGAAGCTTTCGCGTTTTCGACTGAAGAAGAGAGTATAAGACTGTGAAGCTCGTCGATTTCTTCGTGCATTTTGGCTCGAACGAGGATACGAGCGATCGTGGGTGCTGCAGATAAAGACATGCCATGGCTCTCTTGCGAAGGAGAAGAGAATATCCTCTTGAAGATTGTCCACGCTAGTCTCGGATTGTTCGTGTTCTTCAACAAAGCTTTCACTAGTGTACCAGATTGTTCCATGGGAATACAGAACTGAATAGAAATTCAATTGAAGGGGGTGTACGTGAACATTGGTCTAATTTTCAACTATTAAATTAAATACGGGCCAAACTATAATAATTATTAAGAATATGGGGCTATTGTGTGAATAACAGTAAGTTTTAGACTTAGTAAACGCTTTTCTTCTTCGTTCGTTCTAAAAGTCGCACGTTCCCTTTCTCTTCTTCTCTCAATCATCTCTACTGAAGAGAATCCGATTCCGATCAAAATCCGCAGAAGAAGATGTCTCGCCAATCGTTTTCTCTACTAAAGAATCTCGGTAGAATCACTACCGGGTCGAAAACTCAGACCCGATCCGTGACTTACATGCCCAGACCCGGCGACGGCAAGCCACGACCGGTGACTCTGATCCCCGGAGACGGAGTCGGTCCTCTGGTGACGAACGCGGTGGAACAAGTGATGGAGGCGATGCACGCGCCGGTTTACTTCGAGCCGTTCGTGGTACACGGCGACATGAAGAGCTTGCCTGAGGGATTGCTGGAATCGATTAAGAAGAACAAAGTCTGTTTGAAAGGTGGGCTCAAGACTCCCGTAGGTGGTGGTGTGAGCTCGCTTAATGTTAATTTGAGGAAAGAGCTTGATCTCTATGCGTCTTTGGTCAACTGTTTCAATTTGCCTGGCTTAGCCTCTCGCCACGAGAACGTGGACATCGTTGTGATCAGAGAGAACACTGAAGGTGAGTACGCAGGGCTTGAGCACGAAGTCGTTCCTGGTGTCGTTGAAAGCCTTAAGGTGAAATTTCCTCTTGAAAAATTGAAATTTCTCCGTTTTCTGGTGAATGTTTTGATTGCAAATGTGATTTGATAGTAGGTTTTAGGAGAGTTTGATCAAATTTAAGAAAGTTCTGGAATCTTTGTTCACTAGGATGAAGTTCTTTGGGCGTTTAGAATCGATTTTAGATGCATTTCTTGAATATAATTCACAACCATGTCTTGAACATGGCTCTGTTAGTGACTTAGTGTGAATTGAATGACATAGTTTGCTCAGGTACAATACAGAACTTTGGTCACTGTCGACGAACTTGTTTCTTGTGTCGATTGTGTGTATACGAAAATCTTATGTTAAAGATGTCTCTGATACTTATTGTTCTGCTAGGTGATCACAAAGTTCTGCTCGGAGCGTATTGCAAAGTACGCGTTCGAGTATGCCTACTTGAACAACAGGAAGAAAGTTACAGCAGTGCACAAGGCCAACATCATGAAACTTGCCGATGGTTTGTTCTTGGAGTCTTGTCAAGAGGTTGCCAAGAAGTACCCAAGCATCGCCTACAACGAGATCATCGTCGATAACTGCTGTATGCAGCTCGTAGCAAGACCAGAGCAATTCGACGTCATGGTAAATTGATATAGCTTACTTCTTGATGCTTGTATCTATATCTCAAATCCTCTTTGGACTAGCTTTCTTCAACACGGCTTTACTTACATGAATCTGCTTTGCAGGTAACGCCTAATCTCTATGGTAATCTAGTTGCAAACACTGCTGCTGGTATTGCTGGAGGCACTGGAGTCATGCCTGGAGGTAATGATAGTCTGCAATAAGAATCTATTTACCCTAAGCTAATGCACAAACAGAGAAATAGATTTTTCTTGCTTGTTAAATTGAAAATGGGTCTGATCTAATGCACCAAAGAGAGATACATTCTCTTCTCTTCTCTTGCTTATTAGCTTTGGAAATGGTATGAATCTTGTCAAAACAGGAAATGTTGGAGCAGAGTATGCAGTCTTTGAGCAAGGCGCATCAGCGGGAAACGTAGGGAAAGATACGACGGAAGAGCAGAAGAATGCAAACCCTGTGGCGTTGCTTCTCTCATCAGCGATGATGCTTAGACATCTTCAGTTTCCTTCTTTCGCTGATAGGCTTGAAACCTCCGTGAAGCGCGTCATCGCCGAAGGAAAGTGTAGGACTGAAGATCTTGGAGGAGACAGTACTACACAAGAGGTCGTTGACGCGGTCATTGCAAATTTGGATTGATTTCATCATCGTATATGATTCATTCACACACGGTTGTGTACACATTCTTTCGAGATAACTCGAATTGAGTTCCACTAAACAAAACAAAAAAAAACACATGGTTTTGTTGTTATGTTCATTTGGTTTTTGTTAAATTGGGATTTTGCTCTCCCAAGAAGAAAGGAAAGGATTACTTTGTTGCTCCTCTGATCTTTTGAATAAATGAAAATTACCCTTTTCAGCATGATAAATAGATAAAAACACAAAATGCTATGCTTAAAAGTGGAACGATGCTTTTATTTCATCTGCTTTTGATATTGTATTGAGCATTTTGGAGAAATGTACCAAAACACTTTGGACACAGGTAAGCAAGATTAACGGTCAGTTTTAGATAGGTTCTAAAGAAAAAAGAAAAAGAAAAAAAGAAAGAAAAAAACGAGGTGGCGACACGCGATTCCCAGAATAGCTTTGGCGACACGCGATTCGTCAATTTTTTTTTTTCTAAATCGTTTATTGTTTTTTAAAAAAAAAATCTTATTAGTAAAATTATATAAGAGCTTCTCTCCTCAGCTCTCCAATGCTGATGCCCTTAGACTTCGAGATATATTACAAGAAACCAAAGAAGCTAACCAAAATAATTTGATGTTAAAAAGTGAATTGTCAATGTCATACACTTAGATTCCACAACAAAAGCTCACTTAAGCAAAATATCGTCTTGTACGTACACAATTGGTTTAATTTGTCTTTTGTGTGTACATCACTTTTACCTAATAACCTACCACCAACACGAAAAACATATTGAAGAGAAAAGCATTGTTGAGATCAACATCGTCTTTGCGTAAAACTTGGTAAGAACCATCGAGCTCTAGAGAATTGAACTGACTTAGAACAATTAAATTCGTGCAGCGGCTCTGTCTTCTTTGTCTCGAGATTATAAAGAGAGATCTTGTTTATTCCACTGCAATCACTGAAATAGTTGGAGTTTCTAATGAACCCACCAGTGTCGTTAGCGAGCACACTGATGCCTTGATCCCAAAGCAATGACTCATCACCCAGAGAATGAACCCGTTCGTGTTTCTCGAGGAATCCTGATGAAAAAACCTTGAAAACCCGGAAAGACCAGTACGTACTAATGTAACTAAACCATCGTCTCCGGTTTTTAACCACCTTTTGGACTTCTCCTGTTACCGTGACTACAAGTTTTGTCGAAATAATTGATTCCACGAGGTATCTCCTTTCTTGGAATAAACCACACAAAAGCCTGCAAGTCCCCAAAAAACTACATGGTCTTTGGTTTTCTCGTCAACACAGAACAAAGGAGATCTTGAACTAATACCATCTTTGATTCGCTCCATCTTTGTCTTTCCAAGCTGCGACTGATCCGTAGGAGGTAGATTGATCCTCTCTTGCGTAAAGAGATTCACAATGTAGAGATTATATAGAGGATCTCGCATCAAGAGCCAACTTCCATAGGTTTTCATACAAACACTCCTTGCAAATTCCAAACCTAGATACTGCGTTCTGTAGAGTTTGTCTTTTTTCTCGGGATTGAACAACCTGCAAGTATAGTTGTTGTTTGGTTTTATTTTGTTGTTGTGGTTCTTGTCTTCGGGAAAGAGAATCAGCCAAGGGATGTGATTAGTTTTGGGCACGTTGGAAATCTGCAAAGCCGAGACGTTCCAACACCGAATTCACAAGATCTAGAGGAAGATCCGACCACGAATTGAGTCTATATCTTCTTCGTCTGAGACGCTTACGCGAATTAGGGTTATGCTTCTCCTCCATCTCCATGGCAAAACGGAAAGAGAGATCGACGATTGAATGTTTTGCCTTGCCTCAGAAGTTGGGATAGGGATGCATTGGTAATGACGCGACGCCTAGGGTTTTATATGGGCTTCCGGCCCAGTCTATATAGCCAGCCAATCATCCAATGTATTTTTTCTTTCAAATTACAATTACTTTTTTTTTTTTGAGTTACTTTTGGCTTAAGAATTTTAGAAGGAGGGTTTTATTGTTGGAATAACGGTATCAAATTTATAATTTGAATTCAAATTAGTAACTAAAACAACTTTTAACAAACCAAACTATTAGAGGAGAGCACATTACAACTTTGTCCACAAATTGCTTCAGATCTTTCAATGTCCATTAACATATTTACAAATTTTGAAGTGCCATTATTAATAAATAATGTTTTTAGTTTATTGATGTTCTGACATTATCTACAATACATAATTAGAATAGCTTAAACTGTCAAATTTAAATTCTGACCATCTTAATCAATTAGTTATTCAAAATCATTCGAAAAAAATTATCGACATTAAACAAATTCTGAATTTTTTTTTTAAAAATGAGCTTCATAGGGTTAATCAGAGGTATATTAAAAATTAAACAGAAATTTATCTGAAATAATTATAAGTAAAATACATGGAACAAAAATTAATGATAAAAAATGTACACATTCAAAACAAATTATATTTAAAAGAAAAAGGTAAAAAGAAGATCTTTCATGTTTTAAAAAAAAATTATTAACAATAAGTTATAAATAGAAATGTACAAAGTAATTATGATAAAAATATGTAAATTTTTACAATTTTTTAGGATTGTTATTACTAATTATTATTAGTAGGAAAAAAAAACTGAAAAGTTATAAGATACACAACTCTTTAAAGCATTTTTGGTAGTGTTTAAAAATCTATATATGAAAATATACAATATAAAAATATAATGTAAATTTTCAATCTTTTAAACTATTTATGTAATTATTAAAAATGTGCATTCCTGAAAAAGTGTAAAGTAAAAAATAAATAAAGAGGCAATCTTTCAAAAATATTTTATAAAACTATACAGTTATTACTGAAAAAAATAGAACAAAAAATTATGATGAAAATTTGATGTTTTTTAAAAATACTATAGGAAATATTTATAATTAAAAAATTCTATTCATATTCTTTAATGTGATGATAATAAATGGAGATGAATTGGCTCCATAATAATAATGTCAAGATTTTTAATAGAAAATAATTACATGTTAGATTTTATACTATTTGTTTTTCTTATGTAGAAAAAACTATTTAAATAATATACTTTTATGAAGACCCACCGCTCACCCAACTCACACTGCGTGGTCGAATTCCTTCACCCCGAAGCTTTGAACCTGTAAAAATTAGACTGAAATGATTTTTTTTTCTGTAGTTTTGAACAAATATAAATAATTTTGAAAAGATATAAATTAAAATTATGATAAAAAATGTAACTATTTATAATAAAAAGACGCAACTATTTATAATGAATATATACAATCACAAATTTTAAATCAACACAACTTATCAAAATACAAGTGACATTTATTCAGATCAAAGCCTAATTGTGTTAATTACACAGTAACTAACTAGACCAAAACCCTCTGGAATCGTCTACTGGGATATCTCATCAGACACAAGAAACTTGTCTAGAGACAGTCACAGAGAGCAAGTGAAGAGCTACTTTGTGCCATGGAAGGAAGAAGAGAAGGCGGAGTAACAAGGGCAAAACAGAGGAGACCACCCCACCTGAAAGACCAAACACTGATATCATCTCCTTGTTTCAATCCATTAGCCTTAACGATATCGACCCATCCGCAAGTCAAAGCATAGTTCCAGCTTCCTCTCCCTGAATCTTTCTTCATCTCCCATCTTTTCAGCATCACACCCCATTTCACATTCCTTTGATCCACGAGGATCGCTCCCACTCCAGTCTTCGTCTTGTTGTTGATGTCTTCTTCTATGACTCTCGACTCTACAGAGGTTAAGAAGTCTTTTTGGATCAGCTCGTTTAAAGGCATCGAGAGACGGCACTCGTCTGGATTCACATCTGTTTTGAACAGAGTCCTCTCAAAGATCAGCGTCAAGTCCGTTCTCTCTCCCCATTTTAGAGTCCGGCTTGTGTCTTTCATGAGCTGAGTTAGCCACTCGGGTGTCTCTCTCCCTTTCCATGAAAAAGTTTCAACCTTTGATTTCTTGGAGTTACCACTACGCTTACTACTATCTTGCAGGTCACGTCTCTTGCTGCTTTTCTTCTTCGATAGGCACAAAGACAGAGACCATTGGGAATTAGGGTTTCGTGGGTTTAGTATGTCTTCTGTGTTAAGGTTGAGGCGCGATTCTTCAGCCCCATTATTAGGGTTTTCTTGTGTGTAGCTTCTAGATTCAAATCTCTTCACTGAAGTTCTTTTTTTTCTTGGGAAGAGATGGAAGATTCTCTTGTCTCTTTCTTCTTCTTCTTCTTCTTTTTGAGAGAGACTCTTCGTCTTGGTGTGGCGTTTGGATTTTACTTCTTCGTATAACATAACGGCGGCATCAACCAGACAACAGAAATTACGCGAGGTAATCTCCTCCTCCGCAACGGCTAAATGATCACCGTAATACATTATCGTCGTTGTGATCGGATCAAGAAAAAGCTCAAAAGACTTGTGAGAGCAACAAACGTGAGGAAGAAGGAAATTTAGAAACTGAAATAATCGAATGTGAGAAAGAGAATGCATCTCCGTACACTTTATATACTTACGCTCTCTGCTTACACTTTTCCTTTTTCTTTTTTTGTTTAGACCTTTGAGCTTAGTGGTTTAATTACTGTGATTAGTCCACTAATTATCTTGCCGATTGTCAAATTTCCTTTTCCTTGATCTACCGGTCGAAAGCTAATATTTTCAAAAACAAAAAATAGTATTTTCTGGTTTTGGTACCAAATCTTTTGTAAAAAGTTGAAATATTATCAAATACAATAAATAGATAAACACAAAAAGCCTTGCTTCAAGTGGAAGGATGTTCTTATTTCAATCCGAACTGTACTTAGATTCACAACCACACACACACTCATAACAACAACACCATTACATTACTAGAGAAGACATAGACAGAGCAGAGCACACTGAATCAACACCACCATTAAACTGAAGCTTGAGCTTAACGTTGAAGCATAGTTACCAGGAGGTCCAGAACCTCCAGAATCTGTTCATCACAGTGTAACCAAAATATTAACTTATTAATCGCTCGCCACTACACAACAAAAAAATGTTGCAGAAACCTGAATCAAACAAACCTGAACAGGGATCTGGAGAAAGGGTTGTGAAGATGGTCTGGTTAGAGTAACCAGCATACGCACAAGAACGAGGTCCACATGAGGTATTAGTAGTGTTGCCAAGAGACAAACTCTCTGCTCCTGCGCATTGTGAAGACGGGCAAGTTTGCCATTTCGAAGGCTTAAGCTGAGAGGCTTCACAGCTTAAACTGATTCACAAACACACAAAACCAAAACCATCAGAGTCTTTAAAAGACTTCAAATCTGATACACAACTCCAAGATTGTCCATCACTTACGTCCAATTGTTTGAAGCGAGACAAGAGCACTTGATGCAATTGTTTGCAGTGATGGCGTACGAGCTGTTAGGCAGAAGCATATCATCGTCCAAAGAGTCGTCCCTCAAAGAAGAGTTACAAGCTGCAATTAAAAAAGTTCTCAACTTTCTTTACAAAAACTCAGAAAACCCAATCATCAATTCGTCATAAAAGCTCGAACACAACTAGATTTGTCCAGTGAAAGTGAAACTGCTAAAGTCATAGACTTTTCCAATCAAATTTTCGTTTATGTCATCTAAAACCATAATCAAATTCAAACCCAACTAGATTTGTCCACTGAAACTGCTAAAGTCATAGATTTTTCCAATCAAACTTTCGTTTACTTCATCTTAAACCATAATCAAATTCAAACACAACTAGATTTGTCCAATGAAACTACTAAAAGCAACAGACTTTTTCAATGATATTTCAGTTTATTTAATCTTAATCCCTCATCAACCCCAAACGGCCAAACCCATTGAGATAAGTCAAATGAAACTGCTAAAGTCACAAACTTTTCTATGATTTAAAAGTCATTAATTTACCTCTGAGAGGGACGTCGAGAGGGTTATCAGCGGTGAGCTGAGCATCGCCGGAGATGTCATTGAGCCGAGCCAGCGTCGTGTTGTCCGTTCCAAACTGAGCTGCGATCTCACCGAGGGAGCTTCCGGATTTGACCACGTGTGCGTAGTGGACAACATCTTGATCGTTCAAGTCATCACAGCTACAAGGCAAAGGGATCCACAACTTTTGACCGGTCTTGATATCGTTAGGGTCGGGGATTGAGTTCACCTGACTGATCTTCGGGTACAGAACCAACGCTCCGAAAATCTCAGATGCGATTAAGTAAAGCGTGTCCCCTTCCTTGACGGTGTAAACCGGAACCCGGTTCGAGACGCCGGTTCCGTTGGAGCAAGAACAAGGGATTGGGACGCGTACGACCTGGTTCGGGTTCACGCGCTGGCCGCGTGTGGTCGAGAGATTGTAGTTGTTAGCTTCGAGGATCGAACGGAGCTTCTTGACGGTGAAGAGGGTCTGGATATTGCCTAACGTTGTGGCGTTCTTGCTTGCGTAACCGACTAGAGAGCGACACGTGGTGTTTGAGTCGTCACCGGCTTCGCCGCATTTAAAGTTTCCGGTCATTTGGGCGGAGAGGGAGAGGAGGAAGGAGAGGGCGACGAGAAGAAAGGGAAGGGTAAAACGGGAAGTTTCCATTTTTAATTCTTTGTTGTCGGAGAGTTTCTCGGGTAGTGCTCATCTGGATTTTTTGTGTTCGGGGAATTTAAAAGGATGCGGAAGAGAGTTGACCGAGAAAAGACTTTTGGAGTTTGACTGTTGACTTTGGTGAAGATAAATGAGAACAACACATCAAGAAACAACCGTGTGTGCCTGTGTGGCGTTTACATTGTGGAAAGTTGGCATTTATCTACACCACGCGTAATTTGTCGAGAAGAAAAGTATAATTTATTAATATCATGATGATAGACTCTAGTTGTCGAGAAGAAAAGACTTTTATTATACTTTTCAAAACTCGAGTTGAAGATTCGAACAAAAGGATAATTAAATAATTAAATAATTAAATAATTAAATAATTAAATAATTAAATAATTAAATAATTAAATAATTAAATAATTAAATAATTAAATAATTAAATAATTAAATAATTAGTGATTAAGGCAATGAACTATTGATGGTTTATAAACTAGCATTGTGTTATAGAAATTTAATTAATATCTAAGATTCGATCGGAAATAATCCTTTTAAATATATAAAAGATTGTAGTATTTTTTTCATCAGAGACAATAGCCGACGAGCTCACATCACGAGATTCCCGAAGTGAAATGCCTAAACATGAACTCATACAATGATACAAACCCAAGTCAAACGAAACAATAACAACACAAGACTAAAGCTGCTAAACCACTTAGGAAGAAAAATACTAGTTGGTTAACAATTTGAATGATGTAACTTTCTGGCATTAATAAGCTCAAGGATTGCAGATCTATATCAGTGTCTTATTTTTATGCTCCCAAAAGATTGTAGTATCTATGTTTTAACATTCAGATTATGATTTACGTTTTACATTTTGAAGACTCAAGGATTTCTATTAAAGACACAAACTCAACAATTCAAGTACATCAAATCCATCACATGAGTCCCATGTACTTAAGGTTTTCTACCAAGTTTTAGAATCATATATATATATATATATATATGTTTGGTTTAGGCACTACTGTAAACAACTTTCAAAATTGTCATTTGTGAACTCCTCCTTCATTTGGGTGAGATATAAATCGATTTTTATTTGTGTTTGGTGACAAATTCAGTTATTCTTTATTTTTTTGCACAATAAAGCGTTTATGATATATTTTCATTTTCTACTTTATTTTCTATCACAATAAAGTTTCTTAGACCAAATCTATTCTTATTTTAAATTTTCTTACACAACATACTCTGAAAATCACATATACATGATAATAATTTATAAGTATAAAATGAAAACAAGAAATTTAGAAATCATATTATTAATTGAGAAGCAAATTGGGAGTTGTGATGGTTGATTACTCTTAGCCTTTTATATGAAAAAATTTTATTTATCCTTATTGAAATTAACAAATTAATATAATTTAATTTTTAATTGATTTTCATTTTTTTTTAATTTAGATTTCCAAATTCGATTCTATATCATAAAAATATTCAGTATACTAAAAAAGGTAACTAGCATAAATCACAAAAATGATCATAATTATTTACTTAAACTAATTTTAATTTGATTGTTTAACCTACTAATATTTTTAACTAACCTAATTGATTTATGCAGCAAGTCAAATCTTAAATCCTTTAAACTCTTTTAAAACTCTGTACATATTAATTAATGTTAAGTTGATATGAAACAAAAATCTTTTAGTATTGATCATTTCAGATTGCTATGTTTTTTTTAAGCAAACTTTGAATTTTATTAATCTGTGGTTAAGAGTTATGATGATTGGTTACTCTTTGCCCCTTATATGAAAATACTTTATTTACCCTTATTGAAATTAACAAATTAATATAATTCAATATTTAATTGATTTTTGTTTTTTTATTTAGATTTCTAAATTTGAGTTTATATCATAAAAATATTCAGTATACTAAAAAAAAGGTAACTAGCATAAATCATAAAAATGATCCTAATTATTTACTTAAACTAATTTCAATTTGGTTGTTTAGCCTACTAATATTTTTAACTAACATAATTGATTTATGCGGCCACAAGTCAAACCCTAAATCCTTTAAGCCTTTTTAAAACTATATATATATTAATTATTGTTAAGTTCATATGAAACAAAGATCTTTTGGTATTGGTCATTTCAGATTGCTATGTTTCTTTTTATGCAAACTTTGAATTTCATTAATCTCAATCTGCTAATTTACACCAAAAGAAGAGAATTATTTATCATATTTGATAAGTGCAATAAAATAACAAAGCATACATACAAGTGTATATTGGATAATATAAAAGATATTAGAAATTAAAATATAAATAATATATTTTACTTTGTCACAAATAATAATACACTCATAAAAATTGTATTTTTCGGATATATTAATTTGGTTTCGAATGATTATAAAATATCTTTTTATCTATAAATAAACTAATATTATTAGTTTTGAAAAATTTTAATCGAACCCCGCACAAGGTGCGGGGAAACACCTAGTTGTAAAATAATTTATAAATAGAATCATATAAAAAAGACATGAAACTAAGTGTCCCTAGCTCGACTGGTAAAGGATTCTAGACAAATCTTTTAGAGGTCACATGATCGAGTGACGCTTGTGATGAAATCAAAATTATATGCTGTGGCAGGCCAAAGAATATTATGGACTTCAGCCCAAAACATCCTATTAATTAAAAAAAAAACATGACATAAAATTCAGCTAATGAGAGAAGTTCATAAAATTCTCTTATTTAAAATCTCTTTCTAAACTTTTAATAATTTGAATAAAGGTGAATTTTAGAATATATATTTCGGATAATTTTAGAAAAAATTTGAGGTTTAACTTTTAATTTTTAATTTTAAACAGGTAATTTCAATATTCATTCTCATATTTGTTTCCTTTCTGTACCTTTCCCATACCTGCTTTAAAAAAAATGGCTCTGACAAAAAAAATGAAAAAGAGATTGAAACAAGAAATTTGAAACCTGTACAGAATGGGAAACGCGTCCCAAATTTTTTGAGTGAAATAGTAATGGTCTAATTATTGCAACACTTAATGGCTGGACCATGAAGGTTTTCCATGACTAATTCTTTTATTTTTCCTTTATTTCCTTTTTGGAAGTTAGATTGGCGTTGTAAAAAGTTTTAGAAGGATTGATAAAAATTATGAAATCTTTAAGGATAAGTCCAACCCTAGTAATCTGTCCAGTCTATAAATCCCTACAAATCAGTCATTCATTAATTACAAATTTTGTAGTTAAAACTATATTTTCAATATTGGTCATTAAATCAAGTTAATCTTCACCAGTCATTTTGAAAGTATATATTTTTTTTTGTATAAATAAAAGTGAGATCCCTCATTTTAAATCATCCACTCATTCTTTGAATAAGAGAATAATACAAGTATTTTTTTTTATCTATCGTTCAAGATCTTCTCATAAAAATTTAGGGTTATCTTTGTGAGTCAGGTTGCCTAGTCTATTTGCCAAAGCAAAGAGAAGATAGGTCCGCACAGTTAGATTAAGATGATTTAAAGGTTGATGATGAGTTTGTAGATTTGTTTTACTGTCAGGAATAATCCATTGGTTCTTCATATTGATTTGCACATATCCTGATTCTAGGACTAATTATCCAGAAATTGCATTCTAGGTTGTTAATAGATGTGAGAGCATTGTTAATCACTTGAACTAATCATAGATGAGCAAAATTACTATCTGCAAAGAGATTTATTTTAGGAATTTTGTGAACAATCGAACCTGATCGTTAATGCTTGTTTGAATTATTAGAATTTGCAAAGAGATTTGAAATTCTGGAATTTAGGCATAGATAACTTCTGCAACGAGAGTTGATTGGTTTTAAATCAGTGTTTCGAGTTCTAGACGGTTTTAGTAATATCCTGATAGTTTATATTCTGCATTCTCGGATTCAACCTGCGAATTATCCTGGCTTAGTGTTTTAATCTCTTAAATCTTAAGAACATCCAATCAATTGCCAATTTCATTTCGTTTAGTAATTTCAATTTGCATACATTTGATTTGACTTAGCTTAATTCGAATCTAAAATCTGTTGTGTAACGATCTTAAGTCTCTTGAGATTCGATAACCATTTATACTACATCTGCTTTGTTGTGCACTTGCCGTAGTTTTATTTAGGTCAAACTTTGAGCAGGTCAAGTTTTTGGCGTCGTTGTCGGGGACTTAATAGTTGCCTTCAGATTTTTAGTTTTAGAATTTTGTCCAAATTTTTGTTTTTGTTACTAACACTTTCTTGACTGTTTCAGGTGCATGCCTAATCGCAGTACCAAAAGCAACAAGAAATATGAGCTGATCGACTTGGACAACCACACACTAGCACGTTTAAAGCGAATAAACAGGAAAGCAAACCAACCTGTTAAGATGGTTGCTCCACTGGTGCTGATTCAAGGTGAAGATGGTATGCTGTATGATGCAGAGGGTAACAGGCGAAATGAAGAGGGCCAGCGACTTGCTGATTGCTGATGATGGGACTGTGATAGTCGAGCAAGCAGTATTACCAGTGCAGAATCAGCAGCCTGCAGTCGTAAGTAATGGTGCAGGAAATGTTGCTGGGCTTATTCAGCACACTTTGGAAGATTACAACAGACCAGCCCATTTCTATGCTAATGGAGCTTCAATCCGCCCTCCCGCCTTCCTGATGAACAATTTTGAGCTGAAGCCTGCCTACTACACCCTTGTGGCTCAGCATCCTTTCCATGGTCTTCCTCATGAGCATCTCATGAACCACATTGAGAGGTTTGAGGATCTGATGACAAGCATCAAAGCTTATGGAGTCAGCAATGACTACCTTCTCTGCAAGATGTTCCCATACTCTCTTGGTGGAGATGCAGCTTATTGGCTGAAACAGTTGCAGCCTGGATCACTGAACACTTGGGAAGATATCAAGAACACCTTCCTCAATAATTTTTATGATGATGCAAGGTCTGAGGAGCGGAGAACAAAAATCTCCTCCTTCTCTCAATGACCAACTGAAGCTTTCAAGACTGCATGGTTGAGGTTCAGATCATATCAGAGGGATTGTCCACATCATGGGTTTAGTGAAGTGCAACTACTTGGTATCTTTTTCAGAGGCGTGGACTGGAGATATCAGATGGCTCTAGATGCTGCAAGGAATGGAAACTTCAACACCAGGTATCCAGAAGATGCTTATGTGTTGATTAAAAACTTGGCATCTAGCAATAGTACCAAGAATGCAGA